AATTCTCAGTGAAACAGTAGGAAAAGCTGCTGATTTACCTGGAGGTGGCTGTAAGTGTGCAGAGCTCCACCTGTCAAATATGGAATGTCGCCTGGCCAAGCCCCACCCACATCTTGGTGAGAGAGGACAAACAGATGAACACCACATCCCTGATGGACGCACTCCTTGACCACTGACACGACCTGTTCTGATGGCTGAAAGATGGACTGTGGGAGGGGGAGGAGAAAGAAATTTACATATGGAGTGGGGTCATTCACCAAGGATGAGTTGAACGGTTACATTGCGACCCTAGTACCCACAGGTGTTTACACCTTATGGCACTGAGATAGTCTACCTTTGGTTTGTTGGTGCCAAAGAAGCCTGAGCTTGTGTGTCCAGTCTCTATCAGAGAGGTAGTATGGAAGATCAGCAGCTTGCCAGGACAACCCAGACCCTAGTTTGTAATACAGTCAATTATGATTTTATCAATATTTAATGCAGCCACATCGCACAAAGAAAAACCTTTAATTGTGACATTTAGCCTGATGAAGTTTAGTGCAGTTATGCCAAACCTGTAGTACAACAAGTCCTGCTTTGACAGGCAGCTCCAAGGGAACTCCACCGGAGTCAGTTCCTTCTGTGTTGAACTGAGGAACGAGTTGTAACACGCTGCATGAAGAACAGAGACAAACAGATTGTGAAACTCATGAAAGACATCAAGACAAGACTATACTTACATCAGAGTTTAAAAACAGTGGCACCTGCAAGTGCTACCAATCAGCCTCCTAGTAGATGCACTTGTGGTGTCAATTTGAAATTCCTGGGTGACTTCCTAAGTAAGTGCATTAACAAACTTGAATGTAAATGACACCTAACCGCCTGCCTGCCAGGGTTTTGTGGCAATTAGCATACTAGCATTGTTTTCCTAAAAACATGTCTACCATGGGTTAGGGTTATTAGGGTAATAGGGCTATTATCTACCTTATTAAGCCATAAAAGCAGCTCATGAGTTTAATTTTTGTAAACGAGGAAAGGTGAGACATAAAATGGCAATAAGACAGAGTTCGCCTGTTTGTGATGGGTCAAGTTAATTGCTGCATTATCAGAAACAGCCTGCATGTAAATGCCAGCTTGACCCCACATGGTCGCAGACCTGGTACCTGTGTTTGAAGCAATCATTTCAAAGGCAACATGATTGCAGGTTCATTGCATACATTTGCAATTATTTTGCCTGTTCTATAGTCTCCAGCCAGCGTTTTCACTATAGTGACTGCAGCATTTGTGGCACCACAGTGGTCAAGGCCACTGAATGAGATCAGGGGAGTAACCATGACAAATGTGCCAAATTCCACAGCTTTTTATCAGCATGGACCTCAAACGT